GACCTCCCAAGTGTCTTTGAAAATACAGAGTTAACAGCGGAGCGACTTCGTTACCTTCATGCCAAACTGACAAAGGAACTTGCTGCTGACCTCGATCCCCTCTACTCTCCGGAACAGATCATTGGAAGTGCCAATGGACCAATCTTTTGTAAGAGAAAGAGGATGGATTCTGAAGCTTATTACCGCCAATGGGAAGCAGCAGAAGACCAAGTACTGATGTTTCATTTTCGTAAAAAGAAAAGAGCAGAGTCTCAGGGTTCTTGCTCCATAACAGGACGTGACGGAGGCGCGGGGGGCCCGGTACCCCCAAAACCAATATGAAGATTCTCTCCTGGAATTGTCAGGGATTGTGTGTGCCGCAGACGGATTCAAGGTTACATCGTTTGTGTCGTTCTCTTAAGTTGGATGTATTGTTTTTAGTAGAAACTCTAAATAAGTGTTCTATTGTACATAGTTTGGCTTTAAGTTTGGGATTTCCTAATGTAATAACTGAACCTCCACATGGTAGAAGTGGGGGTTTGGCCTTAATGTGGAAAAACAATGTGTCTTTGTCCAAGATTTCTCAGGACGAAAGACTGATCGATGTACACATTAATAATAATAATCTAAGTTTTTATTTGTCGTGTGTTTACGGTCATCCGGTTCATAATAGACGTCATGAACTTTGGGAACGTCTAGAAAGGATCTCATCTAATAGAGATGGAGCTTGGCTTTTAGCGGGTGATTTCAATGAAATTATATCAAACTCTGAAAAAATTGGTGGTCCTCCACGTGATGAATGGAGCTTTCGAAGTTTCAGACATATGCTTTCTCTTTGTGATTTAACTGATATGAAACATAAAGGAGACAAATTCTCATGGGTTGGAGAACGTCACACCCACTCGGTGAAATGTTGTTTGGATCGGGTTATTCACAACTCAGAATTTGCAGCTTTATTCCCACATTCTGAAGTTGAGTTTCTAGAATTCAATGGCTCTGACCATCGCCCTTTGTTTATCAACATTGACATCTCAAATCCTTTCATCAGAAAACCTTTCCGATTTGATAAACGTCTATTTGATGTGCCGGATTTTAAATTACATGTTCGTGAAGGCTGGGAAGCTTGTAAACATTCCCAAAGATACTCGATTCTAGACCAAATTCGTACGTGTAGGAAGCACATGTCCTGCTGTAAACAAAAATTTCAATTGAACTCAGCCAAACGGATTAAATATCTTGAAGGACAACTAAACAGAAGGATGTCTAGTCTTCTTCGGTCAGATAGAGCACTCATTCCTCAAACCCAAGCTGACTTGGCGGCAGCCTATCGGGATGAAGAAATATATTGGAAACTCAAAAGTAGGAATCAATGGCTTTTTGAGGGAGACAGAAACACAAAGTTCTTCCATGCTTGCACAAAATCAAGATTCTCTCAGAATTATATTGTTTCAATCAGAGATGAAAACGATTTGGTATATAGAGGATTTTCAGAAATTGGTGCTCACGCAGAACAGTTTTTTACAAATGTCTACACGTCCACTGGTCATCCGGTTTCACCAATGGATTTCGCGGACTTTGCACCTACGGTCACTCCCGAGATTAATGAGGATCTAACAAAAGCCTTTACTAATAAAGAGATCTATGATGCTTTATCTCAAATAGGTGATGATAGAGCTCCGAGGCCTGATGGCTTAACAGCACGTTTTTATAAGGAATGTTGGGACGTTGTCGGTGACGATGTAATCAAAGAGGTAAACAGTTTCTTTACTACGTCGAGCATGAAACCGGGCATCAACCATACCAATATTTGCATGATCCCGAAAATAAATGATCCTATCACTCTTTCTGATTATAGACCAATCGGTCTATGTAATGTTCTCTATAAGATCATATCGAAATGCCTAGTAATGAGACTGAAAAAACATTTGACTCAATAGTGTCCGACTCACAAGCAGCGTTTATCCCAGGATGCCTAATAACTGATAATGTGATGATTGCTCATGAGATTATGCACTCTCTAAAATCGCGGAAACGGGTCTCTCAAACATATATGGCCGTTAAGACAGATGTAAGTAAAGCGTATGATCGGGTTGAATGGAATTTTTTAGAAACAACCATGCGCCTCTTTGGATTTTCAGAAAAGTGGATTAGTTGGGTTATGGCTACTGTACGTACGGTTCATTATTCTGTACTAATCAATGGATCCCCTTTTGGTTCAACTACACCTCAACGCGGAATTCGTCAAGGAGACCCGCTTTCTCCATATTTGTCCATTCTTTGCGCTGATATATTGAGTCATCTAATTCGTTCCAAGGCAAACAGTGGCGAGCTTAGAGGAGTACGAATTGGCAATGGCGTTCCGGCTATTACACACTTACAATTTGCGGATGATTCATTATTCTTTTGTCAAGCAAATAAGAGAAACTGCATTGCTTTAAAAGAGGCTTTTGAAGTTTATGAATACTATTCAGGGCAAAAAATCAATACCTCCAAATCCATGATTACCTTTGGCTCAAGAGTTTTTGGGTGTAAACAAGATGCTTTGAAAACAATTCTAGCTATACCAAATCATGGAGGTGGTGGCAAATATTTAGGATTACCTGAGCAGTTTGGCCGAAAAAAGAGAGAAATGTTTGATAACATAATTGAGAGGGTTAAACAAAGAACATCAAGTTGGAGTGCCAAATTCCTTTCCCCGGCTGGAAAGGAAATTTTAATAAAGTCGGTTGCCCTCGCAATGCCGGTTTACTCCATGTCTTGCTTCAAACTACCATTAGGAGTCATTTCGGAAATCGAATCTCTCCTAATGAGATTTTGGTGGGAAAAAACAGCCCAGAATAAAGGAATTCCCTGGGTTGCTTGGGAGAGACTACAATTCTCTAAAAAAGAAGGAGGTTTAGGATTCCGCGATCTTGCTAAATTCAATGATGCTCTCCTCGCCAAGCAAGCATGGCGGATTATACGTTATCCCGATACTTTATTTTCTCGACTCATGAAGGCTCGTTATTTTAGAGATGAATCAATCTTAGACGCTAAACCACGAAAGTATCAATCGTATGGTTGGTCATCGATCTTGCAGGGATTAAACGTTATCAAAAAAGGCTCACGGTTTCAAGTTGGGGATGGAATGTCTATAAACATCATGAAAGCCAATTTAACTCCTACTCATCCACCGCGTCCTTTGACTCTTGTAACTCCAAATCCGGATCTGCTCCTTAGTGATTTCATCTCTAATTTTGGTTCTTCCCGCCATTGGAATGTTTCCATGCTTGAAAATTTGAATGTTGCTGATCGTCAAGTCCTCCTTCGAACACATCTCCCGAGACTGATCTCTTTGGACAAGATTATTTGGCATTACCACAATTCCGGAGAATACACGGTGCGTACAGGATATTGGTTGTTGACACATGATCCGACTCAAGTTCAACCAACCCCGATCCCTCCTCATGGTTCAATCCCTATGAAAAATGCCATTTGGAAATTACCAATAATCGCGAAACTTAAACATTTTCTTTGGCGCATTTTATCACGAGCTCTTGGTACCATGACTCGTTTGAATACGAGAGGAATGAATTTGAATCTTCTTTGTCAACAGTGTGGCACTTCTGACGAAACAATTAACCATTGTCTTTTTACATGTCCTTTTGCTATATTAACTTGGCGCTTTTCAAATATTCCGATTCTACCTTCATCTATATCGTCTATAGATGTGGAGGAAAACCTTTCAAATATATTGAATCTCCAACACTCCACTGGAATCTCGAAGGAGAATAAATTGTTACCTTTTTGGCTCCTTTGGCAAATTTGGAAAGCAAGAAATAATCTTGTGTTTAATAAAATCAGAAGCAGTCCCTCTTTAGTTACTTTGAAAGCAAAAGCTGATATTAAGGAATGGCTAGACATGCATGAATATAGACTACCAATAAACAGCGACTTCCATATGCCGGCATGTGTTCCAACTTGGACAAAACCTCCTTCTGATTATGTTAAATGCAATTTTGATGCTACATTTGATGCTAACATTAATCACACAAATGGGGGATGGATAATTCGAGACCATAACGGCAAACCTAAAGCATGGGGCTCATCACGTTTGAATGTCACAGGATCACCGTTGGAAGCAGAAGCACAAGCTTTACTCTCCTCGATGCAACAAACATGGATACGTGGCTTTACCAAAGTATTTTTGAAGGAGATTGCAAAGTATTGATCGACAGCATCAATAATCGTTTATTGGACGCGTCAATTAGAGGATTATGTGAAGACATCAAGTTCTGGATGCCTAAGTTTAAGGATCTTTGTTTTCTTTATGTTAATCGTTCTTGTAATCAAGTAGCTCATTGTCTTGCCAAATTTGGTAGCACCCAATCTTGTTTTTACTCTGCAAATTCAGATCCGCCTCCATGGATCGTGAACATTTTGTATGACGATACTTCAAATTAATATAAGTTATTTTGATGAAAAAATAAAATAAAAAATAATATCAAATTTTAAATTAAATCATGACACATGATAAAATCTTTGACTGATAACGGTTCATGATACTATTAATTACTAACTTTGAGAAACAAAAATATATCATATTACTTATATAATAACATATGTTTCCTTTTTAATTATAAAACATATAATTTCCTTATAATTATCTTTTGACATTTTCAAATTGTTTATAGAAATATTAATTATTCAAATTATCATTATAATTATCTTTTATATTTTTAAAATTATTTGAATTTATAATTACTTACAATTATTTTTTATATATTTTTTTAAATTTTTTTTTGTTTTACACGTGTCAAAATCTAAGATCGATAGATTTACTACGTGTCACGATCCTATAAGTTATTAACTTTGAAAACCATACTTTATATAATAAGATTTAAATATTTTATCAAAAATCAAATTAATTCGCCAGAGGCTCAAACCCCACGACCACAAGGTATTTAAAAGGCCAGGCCTAAACGTCCCAAAAGGCCCATTTAAACACCCCGACCGATCCTAAAATCTAAGTGACGAACTCTCTCCTAGTTTAGGTTTAAGCCGCCGTTCTGTCTGATTCATAAAACCAGCGCGGAGGAGTTTATGAAGATGGTGAACATGTCGGTTCTACCCACTTTCTCGAAGCGATCCGTTTCAAGACTCTCAACTCTACGTCATCTCCCTCAGAGACAAACAGGTTAACTTTGCCTATTAAATTATAGAAAGAGATTTTAAAGAGAGAAAGCAAAAAGTATCGACTCGTTTCCTGGAATTTGCAGAAAATGAGATTGTTGAGAGGGCTTCTAGGATTCCATCCACTCACGAAAACCTAGCCGTCTCAAGACGCCCACATGCTCAACGTCGCCGCTCTCCAAGACAAACAGGTAAATCTGCACACTTAGAGAGATTTGAAAGAAATAAAGAACTTTTTTTTTGATGGTATTGACTCGTTTCCTGGAATTTGCAGAAAATGAGAGTGTTGAGAGGTTTTCTAGTATTCCATCCACTATTCCCGAAAACCTAGCCGTCTCAAGACTCCCACATGTTCAACGTCGCCGCCCTCCCAGACAAACAGGTAAATCTGCACACAGAGAGATTTGAACGACAAAAAAGGTTTTGCTTTTATGGTTTCCACTCAAACAAATTTCTTTGCAGGAAATGAGAGGTCTAGTATTCCGATTCATGAGCCTGTGTTTAGTAGTATTCCGAATTTTGGGCCTATGTTTCGTATTCCGAATCATCATGAGCCTATGTTTCGTACTCGGAATCCCCTTACTAGGTATAGCTCAGTGCGGAAGCTTGGTGAGAGCTTTGTATGTATAATGGAAAGCTTCCAAAGGGGGTCCACAAGTGCTGTGATGGGCATGCTTCAGTATGAACATGTATTGGATCCTCAATTTGTCTCTTCAGTTCTTGAGATGAACGTTGACATCGATGCCAAGATTACTTTTTTCAACTGGGCTGGTCTCAGAAGCAATTATATACATAACCACTCCACCTACAAGGCCTTCACACATTTGCTTGAAGAGGCTAGGCTTGCTACAAGGCTTTCAGATTGGGTATACCCCACCCTGTTGGGCTTGTACTTGAAGTTCCGTAAGGTTGAGAAAGCTTTACTTCTTGTGGAGGAGATGGAACAAACGCCAGGTTCCTCGCCAGCTTTGTATTCTTACTACACGGAACTGATTAAGGAATTTGTCAGAGTGGGGAAGATAGAAGAAGCTTATTGTTTACATGAGAACGTTTCTAGAAATGCGTTGAGTCCCGATCTTGTCTTCTTAAAGAAGCTGATTAACATTTTAAGCAAAATAGGTAGAGTGGAGCTGTTAACAAAGGTCGCTGGTGTGTGGACATTCATGCATAGAGCTTATTCGTACAGTGCTTTGATTATGACTCTATTTGAGTCCAAAGCACCTGATTCAGAAGTGAGCTATTTGTTTGATGAGATGAAGGCTGATGGTGTTTCCCCTGTTGGATTAACTTACGCAATCCTTATAAATGGCTTTTGTGAAAGAAATAAAGTGGAGAAAGCTCTGTTGTTTCTTGAGGAGATGGATGAGGAAGACCTTCCAACTTTTCCAGCGTGTTACAGATTCATAAAGTCGATAAGATACCAGGCAGGAAATGAGCTATCTAAGGAAGAAGAAGAGAATTTCCGAATTGTAACTTGTCGAGTTTATGCGGTCATGATCAAACATTTTGGGAAGCGTGGAAAGCTCATGGATCTCTTCAATGAGATGATTAAGGAGGAGGACCAAGAAGAAAGTGGTCCTGATGTCTACGCTTACAATGCGCTTATGTCAGGGATGGTGAAGGCTGGTATGATAGATGAAGCTAATTTGTTGCTTAGAAAAATGGAAGAGAAGGGCTGCATCGCGGATGTGAATTCGCATAATATCATAATGAATGGGTTTGCTAGAACAGGTGTGCCAGAGCGGGCTATAGAACTGTTTGAAACGATGAAGCATTCCGGGCTTAAGCCTGATGGTATCACTTACAATACTCTTCTTGGATGTTTCGCACATGCTGGAATGTTTAAGGAGGCTGCAAGAATGATGAGAGAGATGAAAGATGAAGGCTTTGTGTATGATGCCATCACTCACTCATCTATACTTGAAGCTGACGGCAATGTGGATCAAAATCTTTTGCAGCAAATGGTGGGTTTTGTTCATCTTCTTAGGCTTATGATGAGTTACATGGATCTTTATATATATTTTCTTATGTGTGTTTACAGCAATCCAGGTTCCAGACAATGTTGGACTCCTTCATCACAAAGAATATCCTTTCTCTATTAGTCTAATAGCAGGAAAGTTGGTTCTATTAGGATATACCTTGAAATTATGATCATATATCTGAGAGAGTGGTATATAGAATTTACCATCATCTGTGGATTTTGGATCAACAATTCATTTACATAACCTGTGTACGTAATCTCCTTGACTTTGTATTGGCTTCACTAGATGACGACATGGGAAGCAGGATCAATGAGCACGAGCACGAGCAAAGCATCGATGAGATTGGTGTACAAGGCACTCCTACTCCTTCAGACGATGAACCCGCTGGTTCCAGTTAAAAAGGGGTTCATGCTCAAGCCTGGCTTGTTCAATATCTAATTATGTTTTGTTAATCTATATTATATTATTGAGTTTTAAACCTGATGGGTTTTTTTTTCTTCTGTAAGACTGTAATTTATGTATCCACCTTGCTTATCCACTTAACTTTGAAAAAAAGTATTTGTTAATCTTTTAACTACATTTTATTGCGTTTTTAAGAAGAAATTTTTTGATGCAGAGAGCTAAGTTACACAAAAGAATTAGGGATTCGGCTATGAGTGATTTCCTTACTAGTAATCGATGTAAGGATACCAAAATTTTTATCACTCAAACATTAAGTGATCTAAACCGACTACGCTTTCAACTCTAGCACTCTTTCAGACAATATGAATATGGATTAAGCAAAGAAAGTAAATTAAAAGGAAGAACACACACAGTCTAAAATAAATGGATACCCCTTATTGGGCCGAGTCCAACAAATCGTTTCCGATTACTCGGTTTATTCATGGTTCTTATTGAGTTAATCACACACCAACATATATCATCATATTTAATTTCTCATACATTTGTAAATCTATATATACATTTTTGAATGACTTTTAGCAAATAAATCCTGGAGTTGGACCTTATTTACGGATGAATGCCATTGGTATTAATTATTTAAATTTGAAAAATATTACTTAAAGATATTACCAATACGATTTCGAGAATCATAAATTCATATCTTCCTTAATTTTCTGAGTCATTAATGTGATAATCTTTAAGAAATATTTCTCTGTAAAAAAAAAAAATCCACATTAATGAAGGCATTAAAATCGACACTAACAATTAAATTATTTAGATGTTCAATTATTTTAAGATTCTTATATCTTATTTGATATTTTTTTTTTAATATCTCATTCTTTAATTACTGCGTTTAGAATTTATTGGTTGTTACCTATTTTTTGGTGAAATTTATTGGTTGTTACTTAATAAGTAATTATGGTGCGTTTATTTTAGTTAATATCTAATTTAAAGGATTTGTTTTCTTTTATTATTAATAAATGAATAACATGTATAGAAATAAAAGATTTTTTTTGCGACTCCATAATAAAAATATTAAACTCTTATTTTCTACATTTCTTACACATAATATCCTCTTATTCAATAACAAAAAATATATATTACATATTTTTAAAAATATTTATAATATTTAAATTATATAAAAAATTTGTAATATTAATATTATTTCAACTCTATACAAATTTAATATATATGTATATATATCTTATGGGAACCATTTAAAAGAAATTTTTAAATTGACTTGAATTATATAGCTTTTAAATAAAAGTATTATTAAAAAGGAAAATAACTAAATAATGTTTAATTTCACGGGACGGGTAATATGATGGGACGGGTTTGGGTTGATATTTATAAAAGATCGTATACCACAGGTGAAATCCTAAAATTAACAATCAAAATAATCTATCAAACAAATTACATTTTGATTTTTTTAAGAAAATATAGCCCCGCGGTGTACCGCGGGTTAAAATCTAGTTTACTCTTTATTACAAAATGAAGTAAAATTCAGGAAAAAAGTCAATCACGAGTCAATCATTAATTTTCTTCTCGTAATCCTTATCTTTTACCTACTAGGGCCGGTCAAACAGCAAGGTCGTCGGGAGTAAATGAAACCGGGCTACTAATTTCCCGGTTATCGTCTTGCTTCCCAGAGAACAACTCTTTATTAGTATTACTATAAAATAAAATAAATTATCTTTTTGGTATATTTCATTTGCAGCGTAATCGAGGCGGTTTTTGGTTGCAATCGTCGTCTCATCACCATCATCTTCGTCTTCGTCTTCTTCTTCGTCGGCACATACTTTGTCCTCCATAATTGATCTTATCGCAACAGATCTCTCATCTCCTTGACTTGACTGTGTAAGTATATCCGATTCTTTCGCCTTCCTTGTATTTTCTCCGTCAACGATTGATCCTTTATTCAGATCGCTCTGTTTCATCTAGTCTGGGTTTCAATTTCGTGGTTTAAGTGTATTGGAATATCTGTTGCTTTGATTTGATTGGGCGGTTTGCTTTTTGCAAATTCATCATCACCTCCTGATGATCCATGGTTAGATCAACAAATATAGTGTCTGAGTTTCAGAAACGAATATGTTGATAAAATAATTTTGATCTTCTATGGCATATTCATTCAGCACACCATTTTTGCTTAGCTTCTTTCACTAAGTGTGTTTGCTTATTATTATATCTGATGGGAATGAACATATATATATATATAGGTTTTTGTTATTGGATCAGCTAATATTATTATTCTTGTTTATTGGTTTGTTGTTGTGATATAATTAACAGGCGTTCCATGGCTGACAAAGATGAAGCAGCTACGCGTGGAAATGATTGGGAAGTTGTTTCTCTTACTGCTTCAGCTTACGCTGCTTCTCCTGGTCCTAAACCACTTGTTGACTTGAATGATGATCATCACAAGGAACTTGTTACTCCTTGTTACGAAGCTGAGACATCTCATCCTTTATACATGTCTCGCCACTTTGTTTTCCCACCAAGTGGTCAGCTTGAACCTCCTCCTACTAGTGAGCTTACCGAGGCTAGCAAGAAGATGGATTTTGGATTTGAAACCGGGACTCATTGCAAGGATGAAGGTGATTTGACTCTCAAAGGGTTGGATTTATCAGATGATTTTGGAGGACTTGAGTTTTTCGACGAGAAAGGCAACAAAGATGAAAACATTTACACGACAGCTATGACTACTTCTCTGGACGAAGAAAGAGCTACTGGTGGGTCACACGTGTATGAACTCAACGAACCTGTTCAAGAACCGACCGCGCCTGTCGCTCCATCTGATGTTACACCTGATCTGAATCCTACTAAAGATGATGATAAGCATGAGGTAGCAAACGTGCCTCCTTGCGAAGAAGCCTGGTGGAAAAGAAGCGCTGCGTCTTTGATTGCACAAGCAAAAGAAACTAACACTGTTTGGTCCATCTGCATTGCTGCAGCTGTAATGGGAATTGTGATTCTTGGCCAACATTGGCAACAGGAGAGGTGGCAGATTTTGCAGCAAAGGTGGGAATCAAGCATTGGAAACGAGGTATAGGACAACCATTTTTTGAACCTCCATGATTAAAACGTATATATCTAACTAATAAACACTCTTTCGATGCAGAAAGCTGGAAGATTAATGGGCCCGATCTCTCGACTGAAACAAGCATTTGTCGGGGGACAGCGGCGGGATTCATTCATCCGAGGCAGCTCACAAAACGACCGTTAAAAAACAGAAAAGAAAGGTGATTTACTTTGACGATGACGATAAGAACAAGAGTAGCTCTTTGGGGTCGAAAAACACGGATGTAATGGTTATAGTCTGGTTTGTGAATGTTTGGTACTTTTACTTCAGGTCATGGTTTGTGAGTATGCCCGGTTTTTTGTACATATTTCTTTGGTGTGAAAAAATCATTTACCCATTTCATTATTCCAATGCCTATTATTACTTACTCTCTTTATATCATAATCAGATACTCAGTGTCTCTTGTTATGTTTGGTTAAATATATTAGAATATGGGCTTCCAACTCAAAACCAATTGGCAATGAGTGGAGTGACCCATATCCCTTATATATTAATTAGGATCCTTTCCAACTTCCGATGTGGGACATTATGTCCTAATACGCCCCCTCGAGATGATGGTCTTTGGCCATTAATCTCGGAATGTTTGGGCTTAGATCGACGGCATCAATTTTGGGCCTTGTCGATGATTGGACCATCTTTGGGTCGGATCGGGTTGGGCATATGTGGATCTGATACCATATTAGAATATGTGCTTCCAACTCAAAACCAATTGGCAATGAGTGGAGTGGCTCATATCCCTTATATATTACTTATCCCTTTCAACTTCCGATGTGGGACATTATGTCCTAATAACATATAGTGTGTTAAAATAATCGATCCGATTTGCAGGTCAAGTTCAAAACTTTATAATTTCATAGGTGAAGGAAATTTTCTCCATATAGCAACATTTACATGATATTCGAAAATTTTCTGTTAACATAAAATAAATTAAAAATTATCATGAAATTTAATTCATGTTTAAAGACGAAAATTTGATAAAGTATTAAATGGCACAATTGAATAATGTTGGTAGAACATTTTTATTTCATTAGTAGAAACTAAGAATTCCAATAAAATTAGTTAGAAAGACAACAACATTGAAGGGTGTCTACACTAGGATTAGGAATACACAAAGCACGACTAGGTTCGCCTCCACAAGTCGCGATACAATCATTTTTCATTCGGCATGGTCCTTTGAATTCACATTCTGGAAACGTATCATCCATAACTCCTGGTCGATATTACAAAATTATCACCATCATCATCATAATTCTCTGTTAGTAATTTATAAACTAAATATAACAATCACATAGTCATTAATTTATATGGGTATAATGTTAGTTCTATATATAAACAAAATAAAGATAGGAAAATAAATCTTACGAGTGGATTGTGCTCTGTTAGCAAGGAGTGAAACAATGATCATGAAAACAACTAAGTGAAGCTTTGAGTTTTGCGACGCCATTTTTATGTAACAAAATAATCTTGTGTATAAGATATCTTTCTCCACAACTCTATGAAAAAAAAACTAAACTAAACGAAGAGCTATTTATATAGATGAATATCCAAATTAAGCAACCAAATTTTATTTTATAGAAATGTTTTATGATTGATTTTGTTCTTTATGAAGTTTTCTTTTTGTGAGAAAACAATCATAGATATACGTATCAATCACAATTATTTTCCTTCATCAACCGTATCAACCACATTGAATGTGTGTGTATACTATGCTTTTGGGAAAATGCCATATATACATATACGATATAACTTTTAATCTCCACATAAGTACATGACCTATTCAAAACTTCTATAAACAATATTCTTTTTTGATCGTTAAGTTGTCAAAGAAAGTTTGAAGATCTAAATCGATGATACATAGTTTACAAAAAATAATGTCAAACTTTTTTTTTTTCAAAAAATGTCAAACTTTTGCATTTTGTGTTGACTTTTAAATCTTTAGCCAGAAATATTATTGTATGGTTAAATGAAAATGAGAACGATTTGTAATTTCTTAAAAAAAAAAAAACTTAAGATGACATGAAATAAGATAAAGCAAAAAAAAAAAAAGTAAAATTCTGCATAG